CCTTCTACACCAGTGCATGGCTGTCTTGTTGCAACAGTGCGGCACCTTCAAACCATTCCTGTAACTTTTCCTGTTCCCCTCTTTAATTTCCTGGCTGCAGGCTTAGGATCAGCAAACCTAAACCAGCAGCAAGCTTAATGAGGAGCATCTGTAGGGAAAGGGCATGCACGTGGAAAAGAGTCTGTGTGTGTGTGTGTTTGTGCGTGCACAGATGTGTGCGAGCACAAGGGGTTGGGCAGCAGGCGGTCTACCTGTCAGACTGAGGAACTGCCTTGAACACATCTTATCATGGGTGGGAAGCCAGTGAAAAAAGAAAGCAGGGGGTAGGGAGTTTACTGGATAGGTCCAGCTGCTTCCCCAACCAGGGTTTTGTTTCTCTCAAGGATCCAGGTCCCCTAGATAGGTCCTAGATGTGGGGCATCCCTAGTGGCATAAAGCACAAGATGCGCCACACTGGACCAGATGCGCCACACTGGAGCACAGTTCATCTAGCCTGGCATTGTGTTCATATAGTGGCCAATCAGCTGCTCGCAGGGCAACCAAAAGCTAGGTGTGAGTGCAACAGCACCATCCCATCCCTGTTCCCCAGCAACTGGGGTGCACAGGCATACTGCCTCTGATACTGGAAGCAGCATATTAGCATCAGGACTAGTAGCTATTGGTAACCCTGCCTCCATGAATCGTCCAATCCCCCTTTTGGTAGCTATTGCTACATCTGATGGAAGTCAATTCCATAATTTAACAATGTGCTATGTGAAGGAGGACATCCTTTTATCTATCCTGCCCTTCCACGGGTTGAATCCAGATTCTAATATTATTAGAGAAAGAAAAAAATATTTTCTATGCATTTCTCCACATTGTGCATGATTTTGTGCACCTCTGTTATGTCCCCCCTAACTAGCCTTTTCTCTAAGCTAAAAAGCCCCCAAAGTGCTAGCCTTTTATCATAGCAGGATTGCTCCAGCTGCACGATCATTTCAGTTGCCCTTTTCTACACTTTTACCAGTGCTGCAATATCCTGTTTTAGGTGCAGTTACTCTGAGTAGTGGTCACCCCACATATTTGTATAAAGGCAGCTTGGCGATTTTATTTTAGTTTCTTCCCCAATTATGCCTCACCTGGATCGTGCCTTTTTCACAGCAGCCACACACCAGGCTGCTGTGATTAACATTTGCATTCATGCAGCAGGCTGGATAGCTGAGGCTCCAACTGGCCCGGCAGTGCTGCAGCTCTGCTGTGAAGCCAGTGAAACAATCCTCAGGAGGAGCATGCCTCTGATGGCACACACAGTCCCCTCAGATGGCTCAGGGTCTAATTTCCAGGCAGTCCCGGCACCCTTCCTGTTAGCCATTAAGCAAGAAGTGTGTTAGAACATACGCTTCTTCACAAAACTGTAGAACTGGTGTACCGGCCAGCACAGGACAGACAGTGTGAATCAGTGCCCATCCTGTCATGCACCTGCCCATCCTAATACCAATGGTTTAGGTCTGGCCTCCTTGCATGTTATAAATAACCACATGGAGACTCGAATAGGGTCACAAGAAGAAGGATGCCACCATCCTGAACAAGGTCTGATCTTGTGCAGATTTCTGTCCTACTCACTTAGGACAACTCATTCTTTCTGCGCTTTTGTTCTGAGCGTGGTCAGACCTCAACCAGAGGCTACCACTTATCAGCACAGCCATACGGTCACATTTTCAAGCACGCACGCCAAGGCATTCCACCAGGCTACTACTAGCCAATACAAGAAAGCACTTTGGTCTCTGAGAAGGGCATCCCCTCTTCATGGAAATGACCTTTCTGGATCAGCATCAGGAACAAGGCCCATCCAAAACAGAACTTGTTGGGGCTCCCAGCCTTTTTGCCAAATTGGTGGACAGATGGACATGGAAAATAAGCCAACAGTAAAGGATCCCCACCCTAACACCTCTGAGCAGCAAGCTTAATGAGGAGCATCTGTATGGGAAGGAGATGCATGTGTGTCTGTGCATACACAAGTGGCTCTTTTCAACATAAGGAACATGTGTATTTCTGAACCAGATCATATGTATGTGGCTCAGTACCATGCCTTGGCCATCTCCCTGCAATAGTCCCCTCTCTCTTTATTCTCTCCCTAACAGGAAGCCTCCAGCCCAAGCATCTTAGAATAGGCCTTTTACAGAACTCCAGCCAACACATAGAAGAGTAGACCCATAGTATACTATGGGGGCATTTGCAGGTGGGACTCTTAGTTGTCTCAGGAGGAAGGGCTCCTTTCTACACAGTACGTTGCGTGTCGCTCATCAGCACTGGCTGAGTGTTGTGGCACGGCACTGTGGAATGAATTGCAAAAGCCCAACGGTGTCACTCATCTAGGGGGTCCCTTGTTTGTCTGCACAGCCACAGGTAAGCATGCGCACATGCATAAAGTAGCCTGGTTGTTTTTGCATGCACTAATAATTACATTGTGTTTGTGCACACAAGTAAAGAAAGGATGTTGTTTATGGAGAGCACACCATTTCCTGGTATACCCCTCTCTCTTTTCACCCATATTCTTCTGTGATACTCTCCACACAGCTTTTCCTGCACAACATCTCTTCTTTGCTGTGTCCCTACATTGTACCCAGCAAAGTGAGATGCTTTCTTCTTTAAAGTGAAAGTAGCCTACAGGTGGCATACCAGAGGCCAACACCCCCGGTGTGTTGTTGGGGAGCATTTCTAATGTGGGCTGTTCTGGAGGGGAAACAAACCAACCAACCAACCAACAAACAAACAAACAAAGCCTCATTGCAAGCTGCTAGCTGCAGCTGCTGGATGGGGGAGATGGAACTGTGTGCATTGATCAGTTCTGTCCCTATTCTTTCTTTTCCTCTCACTTTCTCCAACTGCCTGAGTGGAGGAGCAGAACTGGTTGGCTCTAAAGAAACCCAAACCAATAGACAGCATCTTTCCCTACCAGATCCAGCAGGGAAAATTTGGGCTCTTGTTCATTTGAGACATGAAAGAGCAAGTTTTGCATATTCCTGTCTGCTCCTAAAGGGATGAATAGGGTTGGTCTCCCTGGCCTCATGTTTTCCTGCATATCCCCCTCCACTTTCCCTGCTCTGCCTTCTCCAGTATACAGAGTAAAAGATCCCAAACATTTTTGTTTTGTTTTTGTTTTGTTTTTTCCTTTGTTTGTTTGTTCTGTCTTTTTAAATAGCTGACTCTGTGGGAGCAAGAGACTCCCCTCTTCCCAAACGGCGTGATTGTCAAAAGAGCCAGTCCAGGAAACAAACCACTTTTGACCTTTTAAGGCTTGTTTTTACATTTTTATTTTATTTTAAACACAAGCCCTCTCCCAGAAAGCCTGGGGTGTTGTCTGCAAAACACAAAACCCCCATTGCTTATAAAAATTACACCCTTCAGGAAAAAGCATTCTCAATCCAAGTAATCACCCCCCCCCCCATTTTCTGAAAGTAGCAGGAAGAAAAGTCTTATTAAATAGTCTACAAATGTTAAAACTTTTAAAGAATTAACAAAACAATGCAAAAGGCCAAACAAATGCTCAGATTATTGAGGAAGGTCCAGGCACTTCCTAGGTTTTTTCCTCCCCCGTACTTCCATCCGCCCCAAAGAAGGACATTTCCTCATTTTGGCAAAAAACCTTGTTTCAGGGTGGTTTTTTCTTTCCCTTCTCCTGTTCTTTGTTTTAAAGCAAACAAACTGTCCTTTAATTTTGGTAACTAAACTTTCCTTCTATGTTGGGACAGCACTTAACTCAAACCTTGGGCTGGGGTGAGGGGTGGGAAACCTTTTTAGCCCTTGTCTAAAATGCTGGTGACTTGGATTTTCCTCTGTCAGTTTTGGATGTTGTTCCCTCGCTAAGCAGCGTCTTTCTCCCCCTCGCCCCAACTCCCGTAATCACAAACATGCATGAAAAAGAGGTGGGGGGGCAGAGGGAAAGTCTTAAATCAGTCCCAAAGCCAGACAGACGTTTTAATCAAATCAAATTAGAATCAGCAGCGGTTTGGAAAAAAAGACGAGGCGCACGGCAAGACCCCCTGCCCCATCCCCCCTCGCAAAACTGAATGAGATGCGAGCCCTTACCTGAACCCCCCCCAGCAACACATAGCATAGTAGACTCAGAGTGTGGGCTGGGGGCGACGCTGCGGGTTAGCAGACAAACGGTTTTGTTCCCAATGATCGCTGCAGATCCCGGCGCGGAGCGAAAAACTGCCTTTCTCCCCGGCTGGCTCTGCCCCGGGTTCCGTTCTGTTCCTTTTCCCCGTTTTCCCCCCTTTCTCTATTTGTTTTGGTTTGTGTTTGCTGGGTGTTAGGTGGGAAAAGCTGTCTGTACTTTTTTTTGTATGTGCGCAAAGTTTTCACCACGCTCTCTCTCTCTCTCTCTCTCTCTCTCTCTCTCTCTCTCTCTCTCTCTCCTCTCTTCCACCTCCCGTGATTTGCTCTTTTGATTGGTGTCCAGGAATGTAAGAATATAAAAAAAAGAAAAGAAAAAGTGCATACACCCTCTCTCGAAGCGGCTGCCTTTTTTTTTTAAATTCAAGTGTTAAGCAGAACCAGGTTGCTTTCAAGAATGTATTTGATGCAATTGTATACAAGCGCAGTCCCATTCATTTCGCTGCCCCGACCCCCCCACCCCATTTGCCACCCACCCCAGCACACCCCACTACAGCTCTTGAAACTTTGAGGTGGGGAGGGGGGAAAGCAAGGTAAAGGATCTGGCAAGAGGGCTTTTCTCAAAGTCAAGAAGGAAGGGGAAGAGGACTTGGGGGGGGGGGGATGAACGATCCAGAGGAAATGCCAGCCCACCATACCCTCCCTCCCCACCCCGCTGCCCGCATGCTGCCAAGTTTTGCTAATGGCATTTTTAGGGGGGGGGGGGCTTCCAGCAAATGTAGTGAGAAATGAAGTGTGCTTGCGAGGGCTCGGTTGGGGTTCTGAGCGAGGAGGAGAGAGAGAGGTGGGCCGGCTTCCCTCTGGAAAAGGGAAGGCTGGAGAGAAGGACCAAGGGCTCCTACCTGCTCTGAACTCCATCTGGTTCAAGCCCCAGTCCGGTGCAGCCCTTGAAGGTAGGTGTGTGACTGAATACTTCCTTTCGCCGAGGGGTCTGCATGGAGACTGCTGCCTCCTTTATTCTGGGCCAGGATTAATAATCCCATTTGCCAATCCCACTCACTAGGGTTTGGTTGTGGGTTTGGTTTTTTGTTTTTGTTTTTTTTTTCTTTAATGTGCGCGTGTGTGTGTTTTAATTTGGTGAAGATATTTGTGAAACCTTCTTCTCCTCTGACCCCCCTCCTCCTTTCTGACGTGTAAAGCTTTAACCACAAAGCAGAGCCCAGTCCCAGAGGGTGGGAGCGCGCGTGTGGGGGGCCTTGTGGGAGGAGAGGTCCCGCAGACTGGCTCCTCTCCCCTGCAAAGAGACAGGGCGAGGTGAGTGCGTGAAACCAACCTGTCTCAGGCTGAAATGCCAGATTTGGGAAGGGAGGTGGCGGGGGGAAAGTGGGGGGAGAAAGGGGTGGGGATAGAGAGAAGAAACTGACCCATTCTCTTTCTCCACTCCTTTCGCCTTTCCTCATGTATCATGGACTGGTTCCATTTTCCTGGCTTAAGACTCCCTTGGCCCAGACTTTCCGACTGGACCATGGAGGGTTTCTGCATCACACCCCAGGCCAAGGGCCAGGCACTTGGGGCGCCGCTGCCTCCCCGCTGCCCTTTTGCGGGGAACAAAACACAATGGCTCGCTGGTGGGTTGTTGTCGGATGCTTGTCCCATTCTCACAATTGGAGTGGCCTTTAGTCATCGGCAGGTGACTAACCCGCCAGGCGACAGATGTCATGAAAGGCTGATGTGGGAGTGAGTGCCAATAGTTCAGTCAGCAGCCAGTCAAGGGCACTGGTGGGGTGGGGGTTCTTTGTTTCTTCCTCCTCCCCGCTTCCAGATCATGCACATTTGTCTCTCATTCATCTTGGTCTTCGACTTCCCTTCTGCCCTTTGTGTGTGTGATATTATCTATGGGTTCTGCTTAGAATCCATTAATCAGCAAAAGGCTTCCCAGTCCAATTTTGACACGAGGCTTGTGACTCAGCACTCTGCTTGCTCTCCACCATTGGGGGCAAGGTCCTTGATGCTGGATGAACTTACTGGAAAGGGGTCTTTGATAAGGAAATATGGAAGGCTGAAAAGCATTCAGGCGGTTGTTTGCGGGGATCAGAAGAGAATCAGGTTTGATGGACAGGAAGGATTCCTTAAAAGAACTATCACCATTCTGTTCTGCAAATGTATTTTGTATGGAAGATGAACTAACTTCACCACTGAGTTTAACAGATGCACACTGCTTTATGAAAATCATTACTGCATCATTCACACAATCCTTGCAATTGTGGCATAGCTCACCCCCCCCCCATAATTCTGATTATCCACTTGGATGTACACATTTGTGTCCCCTCAGTATACATTGTTATGCCCAAGTAAGACCTGCTGTATTCTAGAGGATTGGGATATGTATACCTGTGATCAAGCAATCACATTTTGGGCAGGCCTCAGTTGTGCAGTCCTGGCACATGTAACACTTCACTTAACTTATTAGCAGGGTAGTTGGTTTTGACCCATCCAACCTTCATTGCAACAAGAACTGCTTTAGTTTAGGTGTTTCTTCCCAGTAAATCCTTTTTTTGAAGAGTTGTGCCTTGGGATCTGTGTAAGTTTCTTTTTGCTGGGGTTCTGAGCAGCATCAAAATGCATTTGGCTTTTCTTTTTTCTTTTGTACTATGCTGTTTAAAAAGTTATCTGACTGAAAAAACTCACTTCTCTCTGAATTTCAATAGCTAAGAAATTGTTTGTTTTCAATTACTCTTCTTTGATTAGGACCGACTTTGCTGATGGGAATCTTTCTAACTAGATGAGGACTTTGGAAATAAACTTCACATTTAAAATAAACTATCCAATGTTATTAAAGCAGGCATGTCAGGTATATGGTAAAAGTGGAAAAAAAACCCAAACCCTGTTTATTCGCATTGCTAAATATTTACATACTTGACAAACGAGAAAAGCAAGGAAGAAAAAGGTTGTGTGTTGTAGAAGGAAATATAATCACTTCATCCAAAATTAATTGCGTTTGTGAATATATATGTTTTTTCATTGTTAAAACCTGACTCGTTATTTACATGGAAAAACTATTATGAGGCTTTGAACTTTAGGGAGGAAGGGGGGGAAATGTATTCCTTTTTTCCCCTTGCAGGCTTTCGCGTAATGCTTTGTGTAAAAACAAAGGCACTCACAGACACAACTAATTTTAGCGCTTTTTTTTTCTTCTTTCCAAAAAGCGCCTTGTTGCCTCCAAAAGGTAACATTCAGAATTCATTGCAAATGCAATCTGAATTAAAACCACACAACCTTTAAAATATTATAAAATGTTTAAACCCATGAATTCACCATGGACTTTCTATTGTTCATTTAAAACAACTATTTCTTTTTAACTGTCTCACATTCCTATTTATTTGTAAGTGTGAATGAAGATTTACATCCCTTAGGTTTGGCTGAAGTGAGCTGAGATTTAATTTGTTTACAGAATAAATAAATCTATGGTAAGTAGGAGCAGCTCAGTTTATATATTTGCAAGAGACAGAGTCCTGCACAAAGCATTGCTTTTCTTTTTGTCTAGACACAAATTTACGTGTTCATAAAATGTATGGAGCTTTTGGGGCACGCAGCTTCCTACTCCTTCATTCATGCTGTGTTTTTGAGCCTGCTGCAAGGGAATGCAAAATTAGCCGAAATGGGCTTTTGGAAGCATAGGGTGGGGGTAGTGAAGGCGTATCCTGACTTCTGAGCTTTTACTTCTTGACCTAAAGTGGAGATGCTTCTAATTGAAAAACTTTCCAGTTGGCTTTTTCAGCAGAGAAAACATTGAAGCTAGGGCTGTCTGATTTATTTATTTATTTGCCCTTTTTATTTCTATTTTTACAAAGGACACCTGGGAAGTTCTGGATATAAAAGATCCATTATATTCCATGGATTTGTGAAAAAATGTGTGACCTTTGTTTTACTAATAGGACTACAAATCTAATAGAGCAAGAGACAACTCTTGAAAAAAGGGGTATCCCAAAAAGCAGATATGGGTGACTACCAAAGCTAGAGCCAATATTACATAATGTGTGTGGCAAGACATGTTGGCAGCTTGGGAAAATTCACATAAGGTTTGAAAAATGTTTGTGGAAGAGTTCATAAGATGGTTGCCCTTCAGTCTATAGGCATGATCCTTCAATCCATGATCCTTTAGAATATACCCTGCTGGCAGTCTGTGGAATGTGGTGAAACGGAGGCGTGTTTCTAGATCTCAGTCCATGAACTGCCCATCTCTGAAACCAACTGTGGACAAGGAGTTGGGCCCCGAAGGCTGAATGAGGAACATGAGTTGGGAATCAGACATTGTAACTGTGCCAAACAACTTTGTTTGAGAGCCTCAGACAATTTGTCTCCTTTGGGTCACAATGGATTTTGCAGTTAATCACCCTATACTTCTCAACATTTTGCAGCCTGGTACAGAGCAATTCTTGATGTGGGCGGAGGGCACATGTGCCTTCAAAAAGTTAAAAATCCAGAGGAGTAGCTGTGCCTATTTGGAAACTGCAGCAGACAAAATGGGCTACATTATTTAAAGTTGCCTCATTCACCTTTAGTTATTAGGTCCAACATTTGCAGAGACCAACTCCAAGATAATAGTTCATTTTTGCATGGGTACCTTTCTTCTGGAGGTCTAAAATAATAGAAACTCCTCTGCCATCATCCAAAATGGGGTTGGACATGCTTCGTACAATGACAACTGCATGAAGAGTTTCTTCCTAACAAGTGTAGGTTTTGCAGCAATCAGGCCATCATAGCCATCATATGCTAAGAAACCATCTGAATGGGATGGTTTAACTTGGTGTCCTGCAGTGAGCAGAGGGTTGGATCTGATGGCCTTCTGGCCCCTTCTAACCATTCAATTCCGTCTTGCTCAAAGTCTTTTTCTTCTCTCTGTGTTTTCTTTTCTCTCCTCCACAAAATAACCTCACCATACCCTGAGTCATTTGCAGGAGTGTTTTTCCACCTGCAACACTCCTCATATGTTCGGTTGTTGAAGGAAGGTCTGCTTACCGTCTACTATATTTTTGTCCCCCTGCTGGAACTTCCATTGTTCAAGATCTTTTGGATGCCAGCAGTCCTACAGTTCAGTGTGGGTTAGAAAGCTCATCTTGTGGGGGATTATTTCCTCCTCCTCCTCCTCCTCCTCCTCCTCCTCCTCCTCCTCCTTCGAGTGCCTATTCCTGTTGTATATTGTACTTGAGCTGTGGGGTTTATTCCAAAACACTAATGAATTTGGAATAAATGCCATCTCTGGTTTTCTGTTCCCACACTCACCAAGGGATTAAGTACATTCTTAGGATCACTTAAAGTGGAAACCCATAACAGAACTGGAAGACATGCTTGAGCATGCTTTAAGGTGTAACCTATCTGCATTAAATGTCTCCTTGAATCTGTTGAATTGCTGCCACCTTGGACCTCACAGCCAGCTATCAGTTCTGTTTGCTTCCCAGGGCTCCTTTCCCTCAGGCAGTGTTCTGTCTCCTCAGCTTTGCTGAGGCCACATTCATGCTAACAATTCAGTTAATAAGCCAACTACGTGCTTAGTGCTCCCTAACTCCTATACTGAAAAGGAGTTAAAATGAAGAAGTAGATATGGTGATGCCTTTTTAGTACCATAACCCCTATTCTGTACCTCTGTGTAGAACAAGGAGAAGTAGAACCTACATTTCCCCCTTCACAGGGTGCCTCTGACAAGTGCAGGAATTATGGCCTAATTACATTCTAGGAAGTAGAGCTAGAAGGAATTCTGGGATATCTCCACATGACATCACTGAATGGGATCTCCCAGGGCATTATATCATCCGTTCCTTAAAATGCATATGAATTGTACGGCATTAACACATGTCTGTCTGAACAGTACCTAATGCTGTTTTCATGATGTTCATGTGAGTGCTACCAGGAACAGGAAGAAACAGGCTTCTGTCTCTCATAGAGACAAGCTGTGGCCCGTTCCAGCCTGCATACCCCACAAAACATCCCCTTTCTGATGAAGAAAGTCATGGTGGTCTTTCTGGGGATTGGTCAGAGAAGCAGC